TGATGATGTTTTTTTCTGCTGATGATGATGATGCTGATGATGCTGATGATGCTGATGATGATGATGCTTCCGATGATGATGCTGATGTTGATGACGATGACGAGGCTGATGATGATTATGACGACGATGATGATGGTGATGATGTTGATGATGCTGATGCTGATGATGATGCTGCTTCTGCTGATAATGATGCTGATGATGCTGATGATGATGATGCTGATGATGATGCTGATACTGACGATGATGATGCTGATGACGATGACGATGAGGATGATGATGATGATGCTGATGACGATGATGATGCTGATGATGCTGATGATGATGACGATGATGGCGATGATGATGATGATGATGATGATGATGATGTCGATGATGCTGATGCTGATGATCATGATGATGATGATGCTGCTGCTGATGGTGATGATGACGATGATGATGACGACGATGACGGTGGTGGCGGTGGTTGTGGTGGTGGCGGCGGTGGCGGTGATGCTGACGATGATGCTGACGACGATGATGGTGACGATGATGATGATGATGCTGATGATGATGATGATGATGATGATGATGATGATGATGATGATGGTGATGATGGTGATGATGGTGATGATGGTGATGATGGTGATGATGATGATGATGATGATGGTGATGGATGATGCTGATGATGATGATGGGGGTGGTGGTGGTAGTGATGATGATGGTGATGATGATGTTGATGATGATGATGATGATGGCGATGATGATGATGATGATGATGATGATGATGATGATGATGATGATGATGATGATGATGATGATGATGATGAGGATGAGGATGAGGATGAGGATGAGGATGATGATGATGATGATGATGATGATGACGACGACGACGACGACGACGATGGGGAATAGGAGGAGGAGGTGGAGGAGAAGGAGGCTGATGAGGAGGTGGAGGCGGAGGAGGAGGAGGAGGAGGCAGAATAGTAATAATAATGATAGTAATAATAATTATAACAATAATAAGAATGATAAGAATAAGAAGAAGAAACATACTAATAATACTAATAATAAGAAAAAGAATAATAAGAAGAAGAAACATAAGAATATTAAGAATAATAAGAAACATAATAATATGATAAGGTAGTGGAGGAGGCGGCGACGGTGGAGGCAGAGGCGGAGGCGGAGGCGGAGGAGGAGGAGAAGGAGGAGGATGATGCGGAGGAGCATCATGCTGGATCATGCTGGCCAAACTTCCGAGGTCGCGAAGCACGCGCAACGGTAGCGATGAAAGCTTCCCGTACCCCAGGCCGTCCCTGGGCGATAAGGTTCGGCTTTGCTCTGGAATTGCAGCTGATGACGTCAGTCCACCTGTTTCTTCCCCATGCCGTTTCTCTCACGTGGCGGCGAGGGCCCAGCCGTTGCGACGAGGAGCGACGAGGGGGGGATGGGCACCCGCAGGTGGTGGGCCCATCTTTTGAGCCACGTCCTTCGGCAGCATAGCCCTCTGCGGCGGCCTGCTGAGTGCTCTGGGCGCACGCCGCCGCCTGCTGCCTTTCGTGGGGGAACTTGCCATTTCGCACGAGCTGACCCCAGCCGTGTAGCTGATGGCGTTTGCACGTGCACTTGCGTCTGCACGCAGTGCCAGCTTCGCTGCCACTGCTTGTTCTTCTCGCCTTGCCAGCTTCCGCTGCCAGTGCCTGCCCTCGTCGCACAAGGTGACCCCAGCAGCAGTGTATTACCAGCCTCGAACTTATCCCTATCCCTAAGATTGACACGCCAAAAGGCGATGACAATCTTAGGGATGCGCCCTCAAAAATAATGGAATCCCTAAATTTGGCATCGTGATGAGGAGATGCCCAGCATAGGGATAGGGATATGTTCCAGGCTGGTAAGGGTCACTGATGAGGTGTTCTTGCTGTGCCGGCGGGCACAGGCAACCGCAGCTTCCCGTTGCCTGCCTTCTCGCACCGACAGCCACTGCTGCCCTTGCCTGCATTCTTGCACTGCCAGTCCCTGCTGCCACTGCTCTGTCGCACAGGCTGGCCCCAGCAACTCTGTAGCTGACGACGTGTTCTTGCCCGCCACTTGGCACCGGCAACTGTTGTTGCCACTGCCTGCCTTCTCGCACCGACCGCCCTTGCAGCCACTGCTCCTCGGTATGGCGTCTCCCACACGAGCTGGCCCCAGCACTGTAGCTGATGATGTTGGCTCGCAGCAGGTTTCCGAATGGTGCTCATAAGAGTGGCGATCCGGAGAGTCCAGACGAAGAGGTCCAATCCAGAATCCGAATCCAGAATCCAGAATCCAGAATCCAGAATCCAGAATTCCGGATTCCGGATTCCGGATTCTGGATTCCGGATTGGACCTCTGAGTCCAGAATCCGGAATTCCAGGTTTGGATTCCGGATTCCGGGTTCCGGATTCCGCCTTGGAATCCAGAATTCCGGATTCCGGATTCCGGATTCTGGATTCTGGATTCCGGATTCCGGAATGGACCTCTGAGTCCCGAATCCGGAATTCCGGGTTCCGGATTCCGGATCCAAAAACACATGGGAATTTCAACATTTTAATATAACACCTTCAAGAACACATGGTAATTTCAATAATTTTGACCCCGATTCTCAGATAATGGCGATTTCGCCTGAAACATCCTCCCAACATCGAGCCCCGACGTACCCTCTGGTACCCCAGACCCCGCCTCGGAGCCTCCTGGGGGCCTCCTGGAACCTCCTGGGGCCCCCTGGGGCTTTCTGAACCTTCTCCCACACCCCGCCTCGGAGCCTCCTGGGGGTCTCCTGAAACCTCCTGGGACCTCCTGGGGCCTCCTGCGGCCTCCTGGAGCCTCTTGGGGCCTCCTGAAGCCTCCTGGGGTCTCCTGGGGCCTCCCGAGGCCGCCTGGGGCCTCCTGGGGCCTCCTGGGGCCTCAGAACTACATGCACACACAGAGACACAAATCACGCCCAACACATCACACGCTAGACAAACATACACACACACACAACACCTACAACGCACAAAAAGCACGCAGAACACAGAGCACACATCACACACACACAACACTTACAATCCTGGGGCCTCCTGGAGCCTCTTCTGGTATCCAAGTCGGGCCTCCTGAGGCTTCCTGGGTGGCCCTGGTACACACATCGCAAGGTGTGGCAACCCCACTAGCGCTCGAGTGCGACTTCGCTGTTGCATTTCACTCCTGCTTCAAACTCCCCTTCAGTTTTTTGTATGAGCCTGGGCACACACGTGCCACTTGTGTATAGATATATATATACAGAGTAGCTTTCGGGCCATCCCGCCGCCGTGCCTTGGTTGTCGGCCTCAGATCCTTTGTGCCTGGGTTGCGGGTTTGAAGTTGCATGCCTGAAGTGGTACATGGGGCTTTTTTTGAGCTTCTTGGGGGCCTCTTGGGGGGCCTCTTGGGGGCCTCTTGGGGCCTCCAAGAGGCTCCGAAACGCGGACAGATCGTTCGAGCACGCCCAAGACGGCCCCAAGATGGCCTAGGAGGCTTCCAACACGGCCCACGGGGTCCCCAAGAGCACTCCCAAGCCAAACTCATTGTTTTTCCTTCGGTTATTGGTGCATTTCAGCGTTCATGCCGTGCAGCTTCCCGACGCTCCAAGCCGGTCCCGGACACCCAAATATCACCCCAACAGGCCCCACGAGAGTGCCGAGACGGCTCAGGCACGCCCCCAGACGGCCCAAGACAGCCCCAACACAGCTGAAAAAGGCCGCGAGAGTCTTCCAAGAAGGTTACAGTCACCGAGACGGCTTACGAGGCCTCCAAGGCAGCTCAAGAGCGCCCCCAACCTTACGAGCTCTCCGCCCCTGGAGGCCTCAAGAGGCTCCCAGCGGCTCCCAAGACACCCCCAGGAGGCACCAACACGTCCCGTGGAGCTTCCCAGGACGCCCCAGGAGGCCCTCCCAAGGCACCCACCAACTCCCCACCAGACGCCGTGAGACACTCCTGACGATCTTCGACGCGGTCCCGAGAAACACATGGCCCACGGGGTCCCATTAGGCTTCCCCAAGAAGCCGTAGGTTTTCGGTGCATTTCAGCGTTTCTGCCTGTGCAGCTTCCCGACGCTCCGACACGGTCCTGGACGCCCAAGTATCGCCCCATCAGGCCCCCACGAGGGCGCCGCGACGTCCCAGGCACGCCCCCAGACGGGAACGGGGGGAGCCCGTCCGTGGTTTCGGGGCGTCCGTCCACGAGCGAGGGGGGTCTGTGGAGGGATGGCAGGGGGGGGGGTCCGCACGCGGAATGGCCCAGGACCCGCCAAGAATGCTCCACGAGTAATTCCGAGAGGCCTGCGAGAGGTGAGAACCAGTGATTTCCAAACTGTTTTTCAGTGATTCTAGGGTGCTCGCATTCTTTATCTTCAGAGCGTCCGAGATGGCCCGGGAGGCAGCCCAGATTACCCCAAGACGGCCCGAAAAAGGGGCGCCAACAACGTTCCAATTACAGCCAAAGAAGGCCCAAGAGGGCCCCAAGATGCCCAAATGTGGTTCCGTAGTCATATGTCTCAAACCATTTCGAGCCAAGCCAGTTTTGTTCAGGGCTACAGTTTGGCTTAAACTTACTTGCTCGAGGCAGGCTTCACTCTTTACCTCTCCGCGCTTCTCCCTTCGCGCAACCATGGCCTTCATGGCGAGAGCTGTCTCGCTCACGGGCCTGTTGACTACCGTGGCATCCGTGGAGTACAAAGCGGTTACGCCACCAAACCTCGGAGATAGTTCTACATGCGCGGAACTCGCTACAGCTGGCGAGTGGCAAGATCCGACGGAGGCTGAGTGCAGGCACTATGCCGAGGGGGAGGTTACGGGCGCCACGTTTGAAGGGACAGGTGGTACAAATCATAATATTCCATGCGGGTGCAGCACCGCCGACTTCGACGACAACAAATACTATTATAAGCCATGTGAAACGGGAGTTCCAACGACAAGCTCGGAGTACCATCACATCTGCATCAAGACCGTCACCCCCCCCCCGCCCCATCTGCCGTCACTTGCAAGACCATGACCTGCCTTGAGAGGTTCGTGTATTGGTGCCAGCAGAGCAATGTGGGCTTCGACTCCAACAATAACGCGGCGCCGCCCGCGAGCTCTCCGAAGGACACCCTCGTTGGCGAGTGCCCCGACTGCAATGGCGCCGCCGACACGGACACTTGCCCAACGAAGCTTCGCTTGTACGATGCTGCTCTGGAGGCGGAGCTCACCTCGGAGCTCGACAAGACATCGACGTCCGTTGCGGTGTCAATGCCGCTCGGATTGGTGTCCGCTCTCGTCGCCATGGGTGCGGTCGTCGGTGTCTCCCGCAGCCGCGCGTCCAACCAGCCAGTGCCCGTAGAGGACGAGCGAGATTTGCTGCGCGAGTGAACGAGTACGCCTGCATCTAAGGACCAGAGGACACAGAGCTCGCCGAGTTCTGCATACTTTTCTGAGATGCCTCCCCGCCTGACATTCGCAATCGCTTTGCGCCAGCTCAGCGATCAAAGTTGCGTACATTTCTCTCTCTCACGCTGTCTCATACGAAAAGTCCTACATCCTGCTTACCCCCCTCCTCCCGACGTCCCCGCAGCCCTGGATCAGTATAGGGTAGCTGCTCTGCGTGGGCTCCAGGATCGGCGGGAAGCGGTGCTCTGGCGCCGCTCGGATCGCAGTAAGGAGACCAACCTTCTGCAGGCCCACGGGAACTTGGGGCTCCCCCCTCATTGACATGGATTCGGGTCGTCTGATGCTTAAGAGCCTCATCAGTACACAAGCAGGAAAAATAACAATGCCTCAATGGTCCGCAGAGAGGCTCATGACAGCCCAAGGCTGCCCAGGATGGGCTCAAGACGGCCACGAGACGCCAAGAGAGACCCAAGACGGCCCAGAGGGGCCCAATACGGCCCAAGATTGGGGCGCCATGACGGCCCTAGGGACGGCTTCAAGAGCGCCTCGGAGGAGCCTGAGACGGCCCTACGTAGAGGCCAGAATCACCTCGCGCTTGTTTGAAAGGCTCCTCGGAGGTGACTATAGAACCTAGCGCGCACCCCATTCCTCCTTGGACATGCTCCCCCCCTGTGTCCCGGGCTTCTAGTGGAGATGCCGGTAGTGCGAAGTCGTCTTACGTGGTTGATCGTGCCGAAGCTGTTGCCAGCCACACAGGCGGTCGTGTGTTTGCACCCTGCATGCATTGCTTGAAAAACAATGTCGGGTGATGTGGATCATTTTGGCACCCTCGTGTTGTTTGTAAATCCATATGCGCCGTATGGGGTGTCTGTCGGTCAGTGGAAGAAGAAGGCTCGGGTGCAGGATCCAGTCCTGGCCCTTCCCAGGTATGGAGGAGTAGGGGGAGGGGAAAGGGGGAGGGGAGGGCCGCACGGCGTCAAATTTTCGTCCCCGGAGCAGGCAGGCCTTTTTGAGTGGTCCGGGTGGTTCTCTGGACCTCGACAATCTTCTTCGGCGACCCCACAGGACGCTCAGAGTCCGCAAAGACGTTCCAAGACGGCCGAAAATGGTCGTAAAAGGGCCCAGGGCCCAAGAGGCCCCCAAGGCGGCCGAAGAATGCCCGAAGAGGATTCCGAGAGGCTGTCCAGGAAGCCTCCGAGAGCCCTAAAGTGTTGACAAATAATTGAGTTTCGTATGATTTTTGCACGTTCGCCCAGATTCTCTTGAACACATCCAAGACGGCTGACGTGGCCCCCTGTTGTTGTTAAGGCGAACAACCAAGCTCCCAAGACGGCCCCGAGACTGCCCAGAGTCCCCCTCAGAGGGCCCAAGGGGCACCCAAGACGAGCCGAAGAAGCCCCGAGGAGGGCCCGATGACAGCCCCAGAAAGCGCCCAGATTACCCACGGAGGCATTCAAAACGGCCTCCGAAGGCGTCTGTCGGGCCACGAACGCTCTGAGACAGCTAAGGCGACCCCCAAGAGACCCCGAGAGGCCCCCAAAGCGCCCCGAAGAGCCGAAGAGGCCCCCAATACCCCCAAATAGCCCCATCCGCATCCAGATCATCATCATCGTCATCATCATCATCAGCAGCAGCATCATCATCACCCACCATACATGCCTCGTGGCCACAGAAAGCTCCACGGAAGGTCTTAGTAGTAGGGTTGGCACTTCGCATGTTTGACGGCAACCATTTCGGCACACCTCTCACTAGGATCGTGGCCCCACAGGGAGGTCCACCGAAAGCCCCATTGGCTGGATTCATTTTGTGACGGCGCCGATTTCAGCGCACCTTACACGAGGATCGTAGCCCCCAGAGGTAGCTCCACCAATGGCCGCAGCGGCAGGGCTCGCATGCGTCACGGCGCCCATATCGGCACACCCTCACGATCTGCGTGAGGGGGTGCCACTGAAGTTCAAACATGTGGCAAATCCCTTGTGTTTTTGGACCCTGACCCTGCGGATCTGCGTGAGGGGTGTCAGTTTTTACCCCCCTAGAAATTCTGAGAACCCTCCCAGGGCGTGGTAGTTCTGCTGGTTTGGGCTCCCTACCCTCGCGCGTTCATCAACAAGGAACAGTGAGCAGCAAGAAGCGGAACTGTAATAGTGGAAACTGGAAGCTGCAACTGGTACAGGGAGCAGCACATTCCCGGCCTACAGCCTGGTGGCCCCGCAAGGGGGCCGGCGGATGTGTGTGTGTGTATATATACATGTATATATTTCTCTCTATATATACATATGTATATATATATATATGAGAGAGAGAGAGAGAGAGAGAGAGAGAGAGAGCGTGATCCACCGCCGCTTTAATGTGAAAAATTGCCAACCTTTTCCTCCCGAACCTGGGGGTCGCCCCCCCCCCCCCCTCCGAAAATCCCCCCCCCCTTGCTGGACCCCCCCCCCCCCCTTTCCCCGGCAAAACCCCCCCTTCCCCGACCCCCCCCCCCCCTCCGGAAAACCGGGGGGGGTCACTACCGGTTCGAACCCCCCCCCCTCCCGAAAACCGGGGGGGGTCACTACCTCGAACCCCCCCCCCTCGAAAACCGGAGGGGGGTCACTACCGGTTCGACCCCCCCCCTACCACGCACCGCCAGCAAACGACTCCCGGTCCCTACCACCGTCCGCATCACATCCCCCACTGTTGTTCCCAGCACCACTGTCCTCACCACCACTGTCCCCACTGGTTCCACCACCGTCCCTACTGTCCCCACCAGTGCCCCCACCACTGTCGCACTGTCCCCACTGTCCCCACCACTGTTCCCACCACGGTTCCACTCTCCCCATTGTCTCCACGGCCCCAACCACTGCCCGACTGTCCCCACTGTCCCCGCTGTCCCACTGACTCCTCCGCTGTCCCACTGAGCTGTCCCACTGTTCCCACCACTGTCCCCACTGTCCCCACCACTGTCCCCACTGTACCTCTGTCCCATTGTCCCACCGCCGTCCTCGCCACCGCCTTCACCACTGTCCCCACCACCATTGTACCCTCCACTGTCCCACTGTTTCCACCTCATTCCCACTGTCCCCACACCACTGTCCCCACCACCACCCCCCCACCACTGTCCATTGTCCCCCCTGTTCCCACCATTGTCCCCACCACTGTCCCCACCACTACCGTCCCCACCACTGTCCCACTGTCCCACTGTCCCCACCACTGTCCCGCTGTCCCCTCACCACTGTCCCCACCAACACCGTCCCCACCACTGTCCGCACCCCCACTCGGTTTTCGAGTGGGGGGGGGGGTTCGGACCGGTAGTGACCCCCCCCCGGTTTTCGAGGGGGGGGGGGGTTCGAACTGGTAGTGACCCCCCCCCCTTTTCATGATGAGCTGGGGGGGGGGAGGGGTTCGAACCGGTAGTGACCCCCCCCGGTTTTCCGGAGGGGGGGGGCGGGAGGGGTTCGAACCGGTAGTGACCCCCCCCGGTTTTCTGCCAGCAGCGGTAGAACACGCTCTTTCAAATCTGAAAATAACATGCTTGACACATGTTTAGAACCTGGTGTTGCAGATTTAAAACACATCCTGAATTCAATGGTAGGATTGTTAGAGTGTCCACTGTCATGGCATCAACAAGACCACTCGGGCAAAGCGTCGAGCCCTTCGCTCGCTGGCAACAAAAAACGACGTCGGTCGTCTTCGCAGAGGTCCGTGACATCCGACCCGCGTCCTCGCGCGGCCGCTGGGAACGTTCCCGACCCACGAGCGCATCGGGGAGGCAAGCCTTAAGTCGGGCGCGTCCCTCCACAGGAGAAACAGGAAACCAGCATGCGAAAAGCAGTCCGGGGATGTTTTTTTGTCCACGATGTGTTTGACTCTTGCCGAGCATTTTCGTGGACGATTCAGGCGCCTTTCGTCCAGCATCCGCCTGCAATTGTTGTGCAGAGAGGATCTTTGGCGATGGATGCACAGAGCGCTCATGCATCGGCGTTCCTGCTTCTCTTTCAGTCCCCCGCTGCTCGGCCTGCCATCCCCCCTCTTCCGCCGCCGCCGCCCCGCCGCCGCGTCGTCATCGCCGGGTTCTGATGGATGTTCGCAGAGACAATGCGCTGACGGCTTCCTCTGACCTCGGGCTCACGGCCCCCTTTGAAGGCCCGGCATTGCGGCCCCAAGCTGCGGAAACAAAGCGCTCGCAAGGGGGCTCGGAACGCTCGCGGGTAAAATTGCGCGGGCTTGGGGGGGGGGGGATGGGGGGGATAGATATGGACTGGGCACGTGCCCGCATGACACGCATTGCCACGCATGTGGGCGGGGGGGGACGGGGGGGCATTGGGCATGCATGCGGCGCGGATTGGCCGTCGTTGCGCAAGCTGAGTTGCGCAACGTTCCACATGAATTTGGTGCGCACATTCTCTCTATCAGCGTGTATTACACAGGGGGGTCGGCATGAATTTGGCGCACGTGTTGCAATGCCCAGTATGGGTAAGGAGAACAAGCTCATCCTGCGTTGGCACATGTTCAGTGAAAGTATGAAGGGATGACCAGCAGTTTTTTCACGATGCAGTTGTCGCACGTCTCACGTAAATTGCGCGCGTCATGGGTGGCGTGCTCCAGATGCTTGCACGTCGCGCGCGTCAGTCTTCGGCGTCGCGGGGTCGTCGCGTCGAGTTGCGATTACCTTGCTCTTTCTGGAGGTCGGGGTCCATGCTCCTCTGCCCAGGGCACGGGCCTGGATGTCGCATGGGCACCAGACGGATGATACTGACCCCCATCCACGTGATGTTGGCTAGGGCTGGGTATCCGGTTTCCCTCGACGTTCGAGCGCGCGCGGTGCGATCCCTGCGTTCGGTGCGCGAATTGCATCGCGACGCGTGGTGCGGCGTAGCCATCTGGGTTCGAAATCGCGTGCAACTGTTTGTGTTCCATACGTTATCCTTAAGGGATTCGCCCCCTGCCGCCGGCCCGTTCTTTATCAGAATCGGATATATCAGAGCTGGATTGGGGTGTCT